CTATGTAATATATGACAATTGAAGTAAAAAGAACTAAAATACCTAGTAAGCATAAAAAAGATGCAATTTTCTCCAAATGCCTGGATACCTATATTTTTTTTTTATCCCAAATTATATTTGTTGATCAATTTTCAATTAGAAAATGCATAACTGGTGTTTCTATTCGCATTTCCTGAAAATATATTTGAGATTTGATAATTTTCCCTATATAACATGATTAACTATAATGATGAACTTTGAAGAAATTCCATGGGTAAATTCACGTAACTATGTGAAATCAGAGACATTTTTGTGAGCATTTTCAATTACTTAAAAGCTGATTTTCAGAACCTGAGGATCGGACTACCTTAAGTTGGGGACCACCATCTCTCCCGAAATTATGTGCCTCAAGAATAAATAAATCTGATCATTTCCGCACCATTTCATAGACAGACTTACATGTTAAGACAAGTGACACCGGACCATATCAACTTAACATGTACTGACAACGGTCATTTTGCCTATATAAATGTCAAGTTCTCTTATAGTATGCGTTCTGCAAAAGGCTGTAATATATCTAATGAAATGAAAATAGAGCTACTTTTCAAACTACGAAATTAAAGTGCTTTTTTAAATAAATCGATGACAAAAATATATTTTTTTCACCGCACATCCATGCTTTTACACCATGGTATGTATTCGCCAATCAAAACTACTCGGAATATATATAGGATAACAGAGACATGACTTTTTGTCATGAATACTGAATGCTGTATCTGTTTCCCAATACTTAAGTGTATTCCTGGAATTGAACAAAAACATGATTTTTTATGCATTCAGTAAAAATTCTTGTATATTTTGAATGACACCGGACAGACATTATATCTTAACCTCACCTGTGAGGTCATGACAACGAACCAATTTTAGTGCTTAACTTTAAAGTCCTCTGACAACGGTACTGTAAAGGAACTTAACGTGTTCCTGGCCGTGACTTTGAACAGCACATTGTTTTTTTTACTGCCCTGGGTCGTTGTCTGCGGACAATTGAACACAATGAGCTGATCCATATACAGGGGGAAATTCATTCTGATATATTGTCTGTTTAGGCATTATATAAGTATAATATACACCAAAACACAAGTTAATTTTTTTGTGTTAGGATTACATGTTAACCTGGATTAAAACGTCATACTTACAAGTCCGTTAGATTTGATTTCCTTACTTTCCGAATAAGATTATTTGCTTCTCTCCTGTACCACCGATTCTTCCTCGTAGGTTGGCTTCAATGAAAGACTACTTTTAAAAGCTTGCATAAATATATATTAGGGATGGCAACGAATATTCGAATATTCATTCGATGAGTTGATATTCGAATATGAATTTAAGATTCGAATATTCGGTGTTTTTCAGATTTCATAAAAAGAAGTACTGTGATTAATAAATTTTTATTAGAACAGTGCTGGAATTATCCCTATTTAATTTACTAGCGATCAATTTCGATCGCCTGATTTCTTTCACTACTTTCTTATCTTATAGATATGCTAAATTACATGTATTTTGTTTTGAGTAAGGTGTTAAAGAATTGTACAATAATGCTTTATGTATAATACAAAAAGTACTTTCATAGTTTTTATTAGATACGATCGGGTCTAGAATCGAGGACAACAAAATGAAATCTTAGAATGTCTAAAAGGCGTGAAAAGTACATATACTTATAAAAATAAAATTAATTTATCATTGTATGAATGTCCGATAGAATGAGTCTGTAATTAATATTGTAAAGGGTTTAATTTCAGATAAATGTGTAAATTACTTGATGATCTCGGGTTGTACATAATCCTGAATTTTATATTCATTATCGGGAAATTAGTTAATTATATAATTACCTAGAAAAATTGTCTATGGAAATATTTGTTTAAATTGTATCAAAGATAATAATCATATCTCTTATTAGGCAGTATCAAAGATAATAATCATATCTCTTATTAGGCAGATAATTGTAATTTATTACACGTATTGAAATCTGAACAGTATACCGTTACGACTATAATCTTGCCTTTTGTAAGACGACTGGTTCCTCAGTCGGAGCTACTATAAATACACATGTTTCAATTGTTAAAATTATACTTTTCTACAATTAAATTAATTATTTAATTTATTTCAAACATTGGCAAATATCAAATGGAATTTCTTATTGTACACCTACAAAAGTCTTCGTACCGTTTTTCTTCCAATATAAGTATACCTACGCTAAACCTTTCATGTGAGTAGGATGATGCATATTTAAAAACAGATTTTATTTATTTTTTCGAATATTCGAATATATTCGAATACTTTCATAGAATATTCGAATATGAATTATTGACAAAATTGACATCCCTAATATATATATATATATATATATATATATATATATATATATATATATATATATATATATATATATATATATATATACAGTAGACACTGTGGGACGTGGAGACCGGTCCTTCGGATGAGACCGTATAAACCGAGGTCCCGTGTCGCAGTAGGTGCTGGCACGAAAAAGATCCCTTACTGCTCAATGGCCGTAAGTGCCGAGTATAGGACAAAATTTGCAGCTCTCCACCGGCAAGTGGTGGCGTCTCGAGTGAAAAATTCTCGAGAGGGACGTTAAACAACATACAAACAAACAAACAAACAAATATACAGTAGAAATTGTCATGAAGATTTCTTCTCCGGAAGCACAGCTCTGACACAGACAGCTTTAACAGCCCCGTTACAGGCGACTGCATAGATCTCATCAGTTGTAAAGTTTGTTCCAAACAGTATGTTGGGGAAACTGGAGATGACTTTACCAGGATGAACGTGAACTAGACCCAATTCCCGATTGTAACAAACAAGTTCATTCTCTCTATATACATGATATAATGTAAATTTTACCGTTAATTCACATTATCAATTCTGGAACAACCCACACACGGATCTATTGCTTACATTTCTATTTATTATTTCTTTTATCCAATAAACAGTCCTAAAACATTTCCAAATTTATAATACATCAAAATTCATATGGTAAACCCTTCCATAAAATAATATCATTTTTCTTTGGTTTCTTTTTCTCATGTATAGTTACGCTATTTTGAGAGAATGACAGTGTACGATTTACTGCTTGGTCGATAATTAATTCGTTCAATTATGTAAAACGCACTTCACCAGAGTACACCCGACAGACCGGACGTATTTCATAGAGGTCCAGATTTCTTTCGTTACAACTGGTTATAAACTTCAAATTAAACATGTAACATTGTAAATACATTGTGTTTGCTAGTTTAGTAGTATTTGTTTAATTTGTTTTTATGACTTCTTAACTTTTTTCCTTGTCCTGAGGAAGGGACAGGGCGTCCCGAAAATTTGACAATTTTTATTGTTCGTCATTGTTGTTGGTCATATATATATATATATATATATATATATATATAGAGGATATTCAATGTTTTGTAGATGAATATGGAATTTATTTCACGAGTGGGACAGGATTTTTGATATTTTCACGAGTGCGAAGCACGAGTGAAAATATCAAAAAATCCTGTCTCATGAGTGAAATAAATTCCATATTCATCTACAAAACATTGAATTTTCTGTTTATTACATTTTCTTTGATTTTCCCTTTGCCTCTGTCTTTTCTTAAAACAGTGTCATAGGCTTGACGTCATAGTTGAGCGGTTGAGACGTCATAGCTTAGAAGTTGTGTGTCAGATTGAAAACATTACATAGCATGGATTTAAGCAACATTTAGGAAGAAATTTGCAGTTTTAGCTCTATCAAGATGCTTAGTTACTATCTCTATCTTATGACAGGCCAGAAATTATTTTTTACTTACTTTGATATCCTTTCACACTGTGAGAGAATATCATTTTTGGTATCCTTTCACCCTGTGAGAGAATATCAGAATATCACTTTTATTCAATAAATAAATCACAGTATTTCACTGTTGAAAATGTAATAAATATATATATACGAGGGGTGATCAAAAAGTTCGCGAACTATCTCTATATTTACAAAACCACAATTCAGATCAGAGTGCAATTTGGCACATATATAGTCATACACATGTTCTATAAATAACAGATGTTGAATAATGTTTTGCTCCGTGTTTATGACGTCACAATGTGAAAATGACGTCAATATGTAGGTCACTTGTGACAAAAAATGGTTGACTTAGTCGTACTCGAGCAACGAACGGCTGTAAAGTTTATATCTTAGAAATTCCTTTGCAGTAGAATATGATAATTTGTACAAGGTTTATGAAGATAAAAGACTTACCAGAAGTTCAATCATTAATTGGATTGATTGTTTAAGTGAAGGCAGGGAGTTGGTTAAAAATGATGTTTTTCTGTTGCCCAGCGAAAGCAAGCCGGGGAAAAGATGTGTCCTTAGTTGAGCAATTTTTTATGAAACATCGTCAAGTTACAATTAGAAAAATGGTTGAATATCTTAACAATAATATAATTATTAAATCCCTAAAATATCGTTTACTTTAGACTTTAAACATATTAGATATGATAAAAAGAAGGCGCCCATACTTTATCCACATTGAATAAATGACACTCCCGAGACAAAGGACTCGAGTTGTGATGGGTCACCATACTAATTGTAAGAAGGGATATCCTTATCCACCCATCCTATTGCCGAAAGTTGGCCATTTCTGACAGATGGACTGTTCTTGTAATTAAAATTACTTGCATGGTAAGAAATATAAGACTCGGAAAAATCTTTTAGCTTCTGTGAACAGACTACTACGGAGCATGTCACGTGACTGCCTGGATCACGCGATTCGCGCATGGACAGAACAATGGCAGATGTGTATTAAAATCGGAGAGGACTACTTTAAAATATCATGAACACTGAAACCTCATTTTATTTCTTTTAAGGAAGTAATTCAATTAGTTCGCGAACTTTTTGATCACCCCTCGTATATGCTATTTATTGCAAAACGCATGGAAAGTGAAGCACTTTGTCGAACTAAAACAAGTACATACCTGACATTTAGAATAACAATGCCCCTAAAGCCGTCAAATACGTATCGACTGAACTGTAAAGAATAAAAATTCGCTTGAATTAGAATTCATTTTCGACTACATTTCATTACACGACTAATTTACAAATTTCGATATTGTTCTAATTGTTCTCCTTAAGGATGAATTAAAATTTACCTTTTCGATAAGGTAATCCCGACTGAAGTTATTAAAACCACTTGTATCCATTTTAACTGATATTTCAAACTGTAGCCTAAACATATTTTGCGGTCCTGAGAAAAAATTCAAACTCTTAGAAAATATAATAAAAAATATAATAAGTATGAGAAATGCAACACAATTCTCATTATACAGGGGATAAACATAACGATAACGATCACAGGAAGCAGGTTGAAATAAAACCAATTACGTCTTCCTCTTTCTCATTAGAAAATTGAAATCATTTTCATTAAAATTAATTTACAACTATACATAAAAACTACTATACCAAATACGGGTATTTCAGTTGGAACATCTGTATGATTAGGTACAGTAACTATTTCCTTATCTCCAATTGTTGTTAAAGTGTTAGTTGTAATGGGTTTTGTAGGACCACTAGATATAGTTGTACTGGTTGTAAAGAGCGTGGTATAGACACTCGAGACAGTTGCTTTGGTTGTAGAAGGCAAGGGAGTAACATTCGAGGTTGTTTTGGTTGAAGAGGGTGAAGGTTTTACACTCAAAACAGTTGTTTTGGTTGGGGATGGCGACGATGAAATACTCGAGACAGCTGTTTTGGTTGTAGAAGGCGACATAGAAAAACTCGAAAAAGTTGTTGTCGTTGTAGAGGGCAACGTAAAAACGCTCGATAGAGTTGTAGAGAATGAGGGACTAACACTCATGGTTATTGTTTTGTTTGTAGAAGGTGAGGGACTAACACTCATGGTTATTGTTTTGTTTGTAGAAGGTGAGGGACTAACACTCGAGGTTGTTGCTTTGTTTGTAGAAGATGAGGGACTTACACTCGAAGTTGTTGTTTTGCTTGTAGAAGGTGAGGGTCTAACACTCGAGGTTGTTGTTTTTTTTGTAGAAGATGAGGGACTAACACTCGAGGTTGTTGTTTTGTTAATAGAGGGCGTCGGAGAAACACTCCAGGTTGTTGTTTTGTTAAAAGAGGGCGACGGAGAAGCACTCGAGGTTGTTGTTTTGTTTGTAGAAGGTGAGGGACTAACACTCGAGGTTGTTGTTTTGTTTGTAGAGAGTGAAGGATTAACACTCAAGGTTGTTGTTTTGCTTGTAGAAGGTGAGGGACTTACAATCGAGGTTGTTGTTTTGTTTGTAGATGGTGAGGGACTAATACTCGAGGTTGTTGTTTTGTTTGTAGAAGATGAGGGACTAACACTCGAGGTTGTTGTTTTGTTAATAGAGGGCGTCGGAGAAACACTCCAGATTGTTGTTTTGTTAAAAGAGGGCGACGGAGAAGCACTCGAGGTTGTTGTTTTGTTTGTAGAAGGAGAGGGACTAACACTCGAGGTTGTTGTTTTGTTTGTAGAGGGTGAAGGATTAACACTCAAGGTTGTTGTTTTGCTTGAAGAAGGTGAGGGACTTACAATCGAGGTTGTTGTTTTGTTTGTAGATGGTGAGGGACTAATACTCGAGGTTGTTGTTTTGTTTGTAGAAGATGAGGGACTAACACTCGAGGTTGTTGTTTTGTTAACAGAGGGCGTCGGAGAAACACTCCAGATTGTTGTTTTGTTAAAAGAGGGCGACGGAGAAGCACTCGAGGTTGTTGTTTTGTTTGTAGAAGGTGAGGGACTAACACTCGAGGTTGTTGTTTTGTTTGTAGAGGGTGAAGGATTAACACTCAAGGTTGTTGTTTTGCTTGTAGAAGGTGAGGGACTTACAATCGAGGTTGTTGTTTTGTTTGTAGAGAGCGACGGAGAAGTACTCGAGGTTGTTGTTTTGTTTGTAGATGGTGAGGGACTAACACTCGAGGTTGTTTTGTTTGTAGATTGTGAGGGACTTTTACTCGAGGTTGTTGTTTTGTTTGTAGAGGGTGAAGGATTAACACTCGAGGTTGTTGTTTTGCTTGTAGAAGGTGAGGGACTTACACTCGAGTATGTTGTTTTGTTTGTAGAGAGCGACGGAGAAACACTGGAGGTTGTTGTTTTGTTTGTATATGGTGAGGGACTAATACTCGAGGTTGTTGTTTTGTTTGTAGAAGATGAGGAACTAACACTCGAGGTTGTTTTGTTTGTATAAGGTGAGGGACTAACACTCGATGTTGTTGTTTTGTTTGTAGAGGGCGACGGAGAAACACTCGAGGTTGTTTTTTTGTTCGTAGAAGATGAAATACTAACACTTAAGGTTGTTGTTTTGTTTGTAGAAGATGAGGTACTAACACTCGATGTTGTTGTTTTGTTTGTAGAGGGAAGCGAAGAAACATTCGAGGCTGAAGGTTTGTTTGTAGATTGTGAGGGACTTGTACTCGAGGTTGTTGTTTTGTTTGTAGATAGTGAGGAACTAACACTCGAGGTTGTTGTTTTGTTTGTAGAAGATGAGGAACTAACACTCGAAGTTGTTGTTTTGTTAGAGGATGGGGGATTAACACTCGATGTTGTTGTTTTGTTTGTAGAGGGCGACGGAGAAACACTTGAGGTTGTTGTTTTCTTTGTAGAAGATGAGGGACTAACATTCGAGGTTGTTGTTTTGTTTGTAGAGGGTGATGGACTTAAACTCGAGGTCGTTGTTTTGATTAAAGAAGGCGAGGAACTAATACTAGAGATAGTGGTTTTGATTGTAGAGGGTAACGAAATAATAGTCGAAACTTTTGTGGTTAAAGATGGCAAGGTAGAAACACGCGAGACAGTTGATTTTGTTGTACAGGGAGTGCTAGAAACCGTAAAAGCTGTTGTTATTAGATGCTTATTCACGATGATAGCCAGAAGAGTTGACATCATGATATCTAGACAAAATCGAAGAAAATACAATGTAATTTATTGTTCTTACTCGTCTAATTATATCAAATTTAGTTTTAAAACAAACACCTAACAATTTATACGAAATAAACATGTATCAGTCAAAATACAACCCAATGATAGGTTGTATTTGCTAACGAGGTCATTATTTTTGAAATGTACGAAATGCTCACTTTAAATAAGGTTGTTGAAACTATTGTAACAATAACGTATATGTCAGTAGACTACCTCAGTTAAAAAAATTATTATATTCAAAGCATGTTTGATAAAGCTGAGTAAGCTAAGGTACATAAACACCATATTCAGGTGGTAGTGAAATATTATCTCCTTTATACAGTTTGGTTCGCAGTACAGTTAAGGTACTCAAGGAAAATTCGGCGATATTTTATATAAAAATTACAATCTTTAAAAGGAAGGGGGATTCTTTTTAGAATTTTACTTATATCGGACAAATGTAATATGGTAAAACACTACAAGTTGACCAACTATTATTCACGTCAACTTTTATTAGCGATTAGTCAGTTTGAAATCAATCCGCGACGAATATTTTCGCGACTGCGGAATTATTCTATACAAATATAAAGCAAAATAAATGGTTCGCTGAGATTGATATTCGCGGGTTAAAGTAAGTCGCGAAACTCGCGACTATTTCTCGCACACGAATAAAAGTTGGATTACAGTAGACTTTTTTATTTACACTTGTCACGTGATGTTATAGTTACGTGATATTAACGAATATACATGCAGTATTGAGGTCATCTATAAATTCTAATATTGCAAGGGCATAACCAAATTCAAAATCTAAGATTACTTTTTTAATGCTTTTTTTATGTTTGTGAAAAGTGCTGTGAACCTATATAGATTCTACGATCTAATTGCTAAAATTCAATAAGTTAGACCACAGGATGAATATTTAGCTGGTCATCTACATGGAAATAATTAATTCATTTGCATGATCTCATTTGGTTCGCAGCACTGTTCAAATATCTTAATTTAATTAATCACATTGAGCACAAAATTTTGGAGCATAGCAAACACGGACCTCTAAAACATCAGAGGTGGTATCAGGTGCCAGGGAAGAGTGAGCATCCCCTGCCGACTGGTCACACCCGCCGTAGGCTCCTTGTCAAGATCGGGAAATAACGGGAAATTCAGTCGACATTTCAGTGTGTAAAAAATCAACTGAGAGATATAATCCCCGTAGCAGGTGATGAAGGTATATTGCTGCATAAGTAAGGGAAGTAGACGATTGAAAAGTTGAAGTCATCACGTTTATCATAAAGCTTGGTTGTTAGATTACCATTAAAGTCTTTTTTTAGCAAAATATCCAAATATGGAACAGATGTGTCAGACTCTGTCGTATCTTTTATTTCAAGCTCACTGGGATATATCTTATCGATATAAGAATGGAAATAACCATTGTTAATTGACAATACGTAATCGATATATCTAAATGTCGAGTTAAAGGCCACAGCAAGTATTTTCTTCTTCTCACGTATAAGATTTTGAACGTCTTCTTCATATGAATACAAAAACAGGTCTGCGTTTAACGGGGCGCAATTGGTCCCTATGAAAGAATTCTGAAAACAAATTCATACTAATAGCCTATCCATTAGGCCTTTCCATAATCCCTAAGAATACTTGATTAGGCACTGCTTTTCCATATTGAAGCAATGACAGAGTCGACAGTGTGGGGAATCTTTCAAGTACAATGGTAACGTTAATGTGATGGGACTTTCAAACAAAACACATAGACTTTAGCGTAGTCATGGACATCAGTCCCACAATAAACGTAATTTACATGATGTCTCATTTGAAATGCTTTTCCCTACAGACAGGTTCATCAAAACGCATACCAAACTTTGTTCCTTTGAAAGCTTTATATGGTTTATATGAAAAGGGTAAAGAGAGACCCTATTACAACACTGGATTACAGGCTGGATTCTGTGATTGTGGATATTGCCAATCATAGGCTTCTTAGGACATACGCAACGTAGTTTGAACTTAATTGTCTTTTTCCTTGGAGTAGAAGAGTTCCAATACTTAAAGGAACTGTATGCTACATTTTAATGTCCATATATGCTGTTGTACATTCTAAAACAAGTTTGGATAAACAAAACATCTAGATTATATGTTAAGTAATTTTTGTATATTTTCTTTGAGTTATACAAGAATTTTCATCAAATAATATCTTCAAAATCCCTGGTAATGCATGCTGATTTTTTATCTGCAAACATCTGATGGCACTATAATCTTAAATTAAGAATATCTTGAAAATTATCAGTCGGTAAGGTACGTTGCGTATATCCTTAAGACATCTTTAGAAACTCCGGCAAAATTTCATAAAAAGTCATGAATTCTGTCGAAGATTATGCCAGTTATGGGTCAACTATGAAGAGAAGACCTTTTTACTTTGTCATAATGGATTGAAAGTCTAAAATGGATGTTGAAATCATGTGTAAAACGGTTGAAGGGATGTATAAAAATCATCTATCCTTCTGTCTTCAATAATTTAGTTTTAAAAAAAAAAAAAAAAAAGAATAAGGAATAGGCGATCAGTATGTACAAGTCCAACTGACGAACGGGTAACAACACTTTTTTTGTTTGTAAGACTTATTATTGCAATTACATTTTAGAGTAACATGGATTTAATTCAAATAATACTCATAGTTTTCTTTTTAAGGAGGAAATTCTCCTTCAACATCATTTGTCAGTTTTGTTTATTTTTATATTCCCAACAACCGCAACGACCTTTTAGAAAAATTAAAATCACCAAATTTTACCAAATCAGTGGCTTCAAACGATACGATTTTTCAACACTTTATACAAGCATTCCCCATGATAAATTTCTGACATTATACGAGGGGTGATCAAAAAGTTCGCGAACTATCTCTATATTTTCAAAACCACAATTCAGATCAGAATGAAATATGGCACACATATAGTCATACAAGTGTTCTATATATAGCAGTTTTATGTAATGTTTTACTCCATGTTTGTGACGTCACAATGTGAAAATGACGTCATTAGGTAGGTTACTTGTGACAAAAAATGATTGACTCTGTCGTACTCGAACGGCTGTAAAGTTTAACGTGTATCTTGGAAATTCCTTTGCAGTAGCATATAATACTTTGTACAAAGTTTATGAAGACAAAAGACTTGCCATGAGTTCAATCATTAATTGGGTTGATTGTTTTAGTGAAAGAAGGGAGATGGTTAAAAATGATGTTTGTTCTCTTGCCCAGTGAAAGCAAGTTGGGGAAGAGATGTGTCCTCGGTTGAGCAATTTGATATGAAAGACCTCCAAGTTACAGTTAGAGAAATAGTTGAATATCTTAACAATAATACAGTTATTAAATCCCTAAAATATCGTTTACTTTAGACTTTAGTCATATCAGATATGATAAAAAGAAGGCGCCATGTCTTATATCCACATTGGATAAACGACGCACCCAAGACATAAGACTCGGGTTGTGATGATCACCATGCTCATTCCGGGAAAGGATATCCTTATCCACCCATCCTATTGCCGAGATTTGGCCATTTTTGACAAGCTGACTGTTCTTGTTATAAAAAATAACTTGCATGGTAAGAAATATAACACTCGGGAAAATTTTTTTACATCCTGTGAACGGAACGCATCGGAGCATGCCACGTGACCGCCTGTATCACGTGATTCGCGCATGGGCAGAACGGTGGCAGATGTGCATTTAAATCGGAGAGGACTACTTTAAAAAATAATGAACACTAAAACCTAATTTCATTTCTTTTATGGAAGTTATTCAATTAGTTCGCGAACTTTTTGATCACCCCTCGTAGACAACTACTTCTTCCATAAATATTAAAGTGGTAATTTTGCATAACTTGTCATTGGTCATCTGTAAACATATTTTGTTATAAAAACATTTTAATTCTAAAGGCAAAAATTAATGAGATTCATAATAAAAAGATGCTTGAGTTTCTCAAGTAGTTTTTGAAGAATTTGTTGGAACAACAATCAATCTGTTGGAATTCCTATGGTTACTTATTGTTTCCCATTATTAGAAGATCTGTTTTTATATTGAATTTCGTATAAAGTAGACTTAATTCAAAAACTTATTAAACCTCTATCACAATTAGAATCCATGGAAATTCCAACGGATTGATGGAAGATCTGATCTCCAAAACTACATAAATCTTTGTACTTGAGTGTAAAACGAATTCCTTTAATGACAAATTTAAGTTTAAGGAACAAACAGGTTTCATATGACTTTAATCTCCCAATCTACAGTGATACACAAATCACATTTTTCATGCCATGGTACTTTTTGAAAGATCTTTTGTTGATGATGTTTCTTTTTGGTTTTGCACGGCAGTTATTATCAGTGAATACAAGATATCTCTAACATTTAAGTATTCATCAGTCTACACACAGTTGAATTGAAACTACGCATGTATTTATACTTAAGATCTAACAACGCGCATATGAAGGTTTTTGATGTCATAGCTTCATTGTTATGAAGAAGTAATACCTGTTAATGTACTGATGCCATTGAACAAAGCAAATTATTTTCATGTTTGTATTTTTATTGTTTTCCCTGTGAGTTAAAAGAAAATTCCTATTTTATTATGGAAGTCAGAAATTCCTTAAAGGTCCATCTCCGCTAGCCAAGGGTTTCCGTCGACTCTGCATGGAGAGCGAAGTGGACCGAACACCTTTGGCCAGCGAAAAAATTTAAAAGTCTACCTGTGTAAAATGTTTTCTGTCCTATGTGTTAGAGTAGTAGAATGGGAGTTTAGAGGTAATGAGAGACGGAGATAAAAAGGGGTTAGCAAGAAAAAAAAAATTAAGGAGAAAGAAACATACGTAGAACATATGAGGGAATCTCAAACAAGTCGAGCGAAGAGAGAGAGAGAGATTAAGAAAAATCAGCTTTTTAAACTTAAAACGGGAAATCTTTTTAATCGTATAGCTTAATTTCAAATTTAGGTCAATAATA